TTGTAGTTTTATTGATCGTCTATTTTTTAAAATAAACAAACAGTTTATATTTTTGTCATTGCATTTATGCAAGTCGAATTAAGTCTCGTCAGTTTAAGACTCGATTTTACTTCGCCATGACTGATTTTCAGGGTCTGATCGACAGTCTGCTGATATTGAGTTCAGATCTTAAACCATAGATAGATACCTAGATATTACTACAAATACCTCTTCTTACACTAAGAAGGTTTGAACGTTAATCCCCACGCTTGCTCGAGGCCGATTGGCGAATTGATTTAGAAATTAGAAGTCAGGTCCCTCACGATGTTTTCCTTTACCGTATGGCAGTTGTATCTAAATAATCTCAGATAGTACGTATAACTCGAAAAAGTCACATTGGTACTTGACGGATTTCGACCCCGCACCCTTATGCATGAGATGCAACTATCAAGAAAGAAAAAAAGGAAAGACAGATTTTCTCGTTTACAATTTGATTTTGTGTGCGTACTGTACAAAGTAGGTAAACCTGTTGTATGTGGGTTAAGTCATGGGTGATTGTTTGGCTTAAACTGATGGTGAATTGTCTATAAAATTTGTTAAGTAGGTTTTTGATATGCACGCAGCACGCATAACGTTGCAGTAAGTCTTTTTATTGACGATGTTAACACACAATAGACTTGGGGTAAGATACTGCGGTATTCTAAAATTGATGATTAATCTTAGGTTTGCAATTGACGCCACATCTATAAATAAAATAAAGAGGTATAATGTATAATTTGTAAGTTTGTATGTAGGCTGTAATCTTTGGAACCGCTGGTCGGAATTCCAAAATTCTTTTACTGATTGATAGCTACAACGTTCCTTAATCACGCTACGATCAAATGTAGCCAAGCAGCGGGTGTAACCGCGAGAGATTCGCTAGTAGATAAATTATAACTGTAGATAATTCAAGGACATAAAAAACGGTTGAAGAGAAAGAGTTTTATTGTTTCCTATCTAAAGCGACATTCTTTAAAAACAAATGAAAGTAGCTCCATCAATAAATAACAAAGTCCAAGATTAATCTGTTACCTGATTCTTAATTAACTTGTTTCCTCAATAAATTTCTCGTTGTGTATAAAATTGTGCTAAATTATTTAGAATATAAAGAAATGTGCGTAGATACGGCGCCATTAATATTTTCTGTATTTTTATCTATGAACGTAGTAGTAATACATAAAAAACGAAATGCCACTAAAAAATAAAAAATAATAGTAGCTATAAACATTTTAAATATATTTGCGTATGTGAATACTAGATAGTCTTATTTTTTATATACTTAATGGGAGGTATGGTTTTTATGGGTTGATTTTTGTCATTTGGTTTTAATGGCATCATATGTATAAGCAAGGAATTTCGACATACTTTTAATGTTTCTTGCCTTTGTTCATATTTCTATAACTCTGAGCGTTAATCGACATACTTGTTTAATTGCAAGTCACTGAGCTTGTAACCAGTATCAGCCATCCTACAGATATCGTCACCCCACGGAGGGCGTCCAACACTACGTTTGCCTAGAGGACGGTCTCCACTGTAGAACACGTTTACCCCAACGGTCATCCCTTCTTCGACAAATTTAATGTGCCCACTACCGCTAATTTTGCGTTCTCTCAGAGGGAACTTTATACTTACATTACCTAGTTATAAAAATATTAATTCCTATAGACTTTTCACCAGTGGTTTTCTATACTAATATCATAAAGAGGTAAAATTTGTAAGTTTGCAAGTTTGTGAGTTTGTATGTAGGGGGTAATCTTTGGAACCCCTGTTCGGATTTTCTAAATTATTTCACTGATAGATAGCTACAATGTTCTTAAGTGCTATAGGTTATAAAACATCACGCTACGATTAAACAGAGCCGAGCAGCGGGTGAAACCGCGAGATAGGAGCTAGTTTAACATATTTCTGTTTTGCTCTCCCTGTCATTAGAACAATCGGGGATACGCAACTGATGCTCACTAAAAAAACTATACATTGAGAAGCTATAAATATAATCGATAAGTTGACACGACATCTCCATTGTCTCTGATAGTACTCGTAGGCTCATAGTGTCGGGTCACGACATCGAATCAGGAGCAAAGCGTGAGTCGTATTAGCAACTCTTTACATGTTCGACATGACCATAGTTTGCGCACGCGCATACTAAGCGAGTTAGTTTGAATTATTCCTAGATTTACATACAATTTCTGGCGAATTGGTCACTATGTACGGTGTTTTGATCGATGGTAATGAGATTGAGATCAATAAACTTTGGTTTAGGGATCTTTGGTCTCCGAGCTGAAGTATGTACAGGTGGTTTTTAGTCAGTAAAAGCGTGACACTCCCTTTTGCTCTACGCAGTGGAGGTAATTCGATGTATATTCCCTATTAAAAAGTCTTTGGTTTTTCTTAAGATTTTTTACTATCGCTAATACGGACTGTCTTGTAAAATATCTGAAGGTTGTTAAAAGCTATATTATTCAACTGTTTGTACATTGATTTAATTTTCAAATAGATTCGAGAAGCAGTTCTCAACTGTGCTCTTCGTGCAAGATATTAATTTTCTTTTATTCTACTAACGAGGTTAACTTACAATGCAACAAAGCAACAGATAATGTAACACCTACACATTTAAGTAGAATAAGTTATATAACAATGTACAAGTAGTCGTTGCACCCGCATCCAAGCCTACATCTTCGAATTACGGAAGATAACAAGGCCATGTTACATAGCGAATGGTATCAACATCTCGCCTTACTACGAACGCGGAATCGACGCGACTAGTCGTGGGAACCGCCGACAATGCGACGGCCAAACACAGCGACACAATAGTCTTGCGGCCAAAAACAGGTTAATTTTTATAACCGTTGCATGTTTTCAATAGAAGATTACTCAGTAATGCGTTCGATAAAGTTGTAGATGATGTAGATGAATCATATTCGGAAGTAGGACACTTTAATAAATATAACAAAGATGTAAATTATGGTCAAATTGAGAGCAGTTTTGAGAGAATGGTAAGTCGAAGAGGTCATTAGACACAGTTCAAGGGACAAGAAAGTGTTTAAGACACAATTGAATTGGAAAGATGAGGAGTTAACATCATCATATTAAATTCTTAACACTATTTTTGCCATCAAAAACACAGTTAATGGCAAAATGAAGTATTTGTTAGTAAAAGTGTTTCGAAGAAAAACTTTTTTAACACTTTGTAGTTGAAAGGATCAGAACCAATTTTTGTTATTTAATGCGGCAGCAAACAAGCTTGCGCATTACCTAATGGTAAGACGGCGCCGCCTAAGAACATCCGCAACACCGAAGCATTTACGCGTGCGTTGCTGGTTTTGGGGATTAGGAAGGGTAAGGTGGGGGTAGGGTAAGGATTGGGCCTCCATTAACCTCACTTACAGGGCGAAATACAATAGGTTTTCTGTGAAACCGTGGTATCACTCCAGTCAAGCTGACCCACACTCGAAAAATGATACAATTTTACTATGACGTTGAAACTAAAAATATTGAAACCGTTGTAAAATTTTATTTGTTGCTTTAATCATTCACCTTGTTCTCAATAACCCATTTGATAATAAACACATCGCATCATCATTAACAGGCTTGCAGTAGTAAACCAATATCATTGTCATTGTTTTACGAGTACACACGCAGCTCTAAAAATCAATGTCAATTAATATGAGCTGCAGGACCTTGTCTTAACTGCACAGTTTCTTTATTTTCCTGTTTCTTGAGAATATTGTGATTCAGTTGAAGGCAAGTTATGATTTGAATTATATTTATTTGTATTCGCTCCGATATTTAGGAGCCCGAATATTTTTGCAAGTTTCAATGTAATTTATTCCGAATTTAAGTACTTTCTTAGATTATTAAGACATGACTTATGTTACAACAATGACTTGAACAGATTGTGAGGAAACCTAAACCTATAAATATTACGCCCTATATCCAAACTTTTTTTTTGGAGCTCGTTTTTCTCCATTCGAAACTACAATTTGGAACGAGCACCTAGCTTCACTGACTAACAGACTGGGCACTACTATTCTATTTTGACGTTTCAAAAGTACCTATTTATGGCTTAGTTGGAATAAATGATTTTGATTTGATTTGATTAAAATTTTCCCTCTTTATAATATCTATTAGTATGGATTAATATTTATAAGAAGAAGATCTTCAATTGTTGTTTATTGTCCAAAGCTTATTTTAGTTATATATTTCCCCCTCTTAAATCTATAGTTGTTAAAGACAAATATATTAATATAATTGGTTGCACGATTTCAGAATTAAAGGCAATAAATAAGATCAGTTATCTGCGCAATGATGTCGGATGAGATATTGAAGGTTGCCGGTGTTGCATTGCGGAACTGGCAGTGACATGAGAAAGGCATTAGTACACTGCTTAGTACTGCGTTCAGTCTCAAACGATCGTGGTTCGGCAATTAGTTGCGTGTGACGTTAAATTATATTGTGAAACTAGGTTACAGATTTAGCTTGATTCATATTTCATCTTTTGTTGTTATCGTTAAGGGATAACAAAATCAGATGGGACCCAACATAGAATATGTTAAGTCGGAGTTGCGGGTCAAGTGCAAAAAGGCACCGCGGTCTCGGCCAAAAGCAGGAGAAGAAACGGGGGGTTTTTAATCAGTAAGAGTCTGATACTTCTTCCCGCCTCACCCTGGACGAGAGAAGACGTTAAATATTTTTTCCTCCTCAAAAAAGGGATATCTAATAAAACAAATATGCAAATAAAAGGGCTGTTGTGTGAATTTCCTCTTTAAAATAATCTTGTAGTTCGTAGTTTAACCCTGGCATGACAGAATGCAGGTCTAAGCGAGATATCATGCATTATTTTACTATGCCTGTTATTAGGTTACTTTTCCGGCCTGTACCAAAATTTGTTGTAGAAATGAACATAGGACTGCACTCTACTCTATTATGGTAACGTAGTAATATGTGTATAATAATAAAGATTAAAATAATAATAGTGAACTTACAGTATTGGTGGGCAGTACCCTCGCAGGCAGTGCGCGCTGTACCTCAGGTGACGCGGATCGTTCGCGCTCGCGCATCTCCGCGCATAGCGCCGCACGCGCAGCCCGCGCGCCCGCTTCCAAACAACCACTAGACTTGCTCCTGCGCATATCACATATTAATTATTACGAAGTAATTACAAACAGAGGTATAAAAAAAGGGTTTTGAATTCGATCTGGAAGAATGGATAAGAAGAAGTCGACCACTGATAACACAGATTGTGTGAGGAATCATATAAAAGATAAAGAAATTTGAGACGTGATAAGGTCTGGTAATTTGTAAATATTCAATAAGACGAATATTATCAAATCTTCTTGTCGACACAGTAATAAGAATGACTTAGTAGTAGTGACAGTAGTGGTTAACATACCTGACAGGTCTATCAATAGGGCCGAGCATGGACAGCGGCTGTTCAGCTGCAGGAGCAGGGGGAAGGTACATCACGTGCCCACCCCATGATAAGTAAGAAGTACCAGGACGCCATGTGCCCAGCTCCTCCTGGACCAGAAAAAAGGATTAAAGCAACTAAGAAAACTCTAGTGGCAGCTTTTAAATCTACTTAATACTGATGATATTGGGACTGATGGTTTTAAAGTCGTCGTAAGACAAAAGCAAGTCTGATTTACTTGTCATTATAGCTACAGAAATGCAGTTAACAATAATGTTTGTCCGTTTACAGCCGCAGTGGGTATAATGCCAGCCAATGAATAATTCAAAAGAAATTAAGCAAATATTTACGATCAACATCTGTCTGTCTTAAATACAAAAGCTTGTAGTAAAATGTCAAATAATTTTCTTGAAACTTACTAACAACTGAAGTTTCTTAGTAAAACAATAGCAAATTACAATACAAACACAGTTAAAACAATTTATAATTGAAGTAGGGACGATCGGACATGATTGTTGAAGAGACGCCAAGGGTGAAGATGGCATTTAATGTATGGAAAAGCTCTTGAGGTAGTTGATTCTTCTTTTACGATTTCTTTTTCTATTTATTGTATTTGTTATGTTTGTGATATTTAAAAAACTATTCAACTACATAACTAATCTATGAATTATATTATTTATTATAATTTTATAGAATTAAAAAATTTACCTTTTCAGAACCTGGTAAAGATTCCTCTTTTATAGCATCTTCTTCAGTACCCTTGGCCCTGGCAGGTTGTTGAAACATCAATGGATTGGTGAGAGAATTTGGGGCAGATTTCGTTAGGAACCAATTCTGTTCCGGTTCTTGTAACATCGGCTCATGTTCCAAATCAAATCTTCTAGATCCTAAAGCCGCTCCTAAGGCACCAGACACAGACTTCCGAAGCTTCTGAAGACTGTTGAAGCCTTGCTGTAACTGTTTGCCCTGGAAGCAATCGTAGAAGCACGACATCGCTTTAAACTACGCGAAGAGTGTTGTGATCAGTCACATGGAGAGCTGATGAGGAATAAAGGTGGTACGAATGGTAAAGGCAAAGAAAACTTGGGAAATGAAAGGAAGAAGAAAAAGGTATTTGGAGTGATAGAACAATAGGAAGCAAAATGATTGAGATATATAGAACACAGGAGAAGAGGGACTTGTAGATAATTGTTGTAAACATAAATCTTAAAGCTACATGAATAACATGCGAAGCTAAAAAGTTATAGTAACCACTTACCATAGAACAGAAAAAAATATCTCACTCATAGTTATATAAAGCTCTCAAACCATGACCATTAACATGAAAACACACACTACATATAAAAAATACGTCAGCTCCCACCACCTCCCATTCTGCCCAGCACCATAACACAAGAGTTTAGAACATGTAAGTACCTTTACTCCTCGTCAGCGACCGCGGGAGGTCAGGGGAGTGATTAGTTTGTTAGTCACCACGTTAATCTAGAATTACTACAACATTCATTATGGGCATATGAGGGATCGAACCAAGGAGTGATGGCATCTTAATCATCCATAAAATATATTTGGTTTTATAATTTTTCAGAACCTTCTTCTTACTTTCTGTTGTAAACAAGTTTAGGTTTGATTTATGGACATCGTTAGTTTTGTTTGTTCCATTTCTGTTTTTTTCGTGTACCTTATCATGATCTAAATCTTTGTTAGCGTTAGTATATTCCGTACATGTGTATTTATTAATTTTATTTGTTGGGAAATTTAAGCCTTTTTTCGATTAAGATGTCATCTCTCCTATTTTGGCCAGAAACCCCGTTGTCCTCGCCTAACATCCCGCGGATCCTGTCTCCGTACTCACTCGATCTTGCTGGTCCCTAGGCAGTGACAGGCTGAAGGGCTGGTGGCCCGGGCTATAGGTGGCAAGGCCAGCACCTAGTAAGGCAACTCCACCACCTGCTCCGTCCGAACTGCTGTCACCCAGGTCTTGTTGAGGTGTCCAAGCTGCCGGACTCGTGTCTTGCGCCTAGGAATCAAAAAGAGGTGAAAATAGGAAAATTTGAGGGAGATCAACTTGATCAAGAGGTTAATAGTGTGTGAAGACAAATAATTTCAAATTTTGTATTCATTGACTACATAGTTTATTATTCCATAGACTCTTTAGTACTCACATGATGTCTAGATGGTGAGTCTATCCTGTGATCTGAATGCGCATGGTCGCCTGAGATGCCGGAGTCACCAGACTTATCGGCAGATTGGTCCGATCTTGGTGATGACTCAGCTGATATGTCACCCGACATCTTTGTTTCTACAGCTAGCGGTTGAGTTTCTGTAATGTGAAATAAAAATTATATACTGAAATCACCGCCATTGCCAATTTGCCACAGAGCAAAAACCTTACAAAACATATGGTTTGTGCAAAAAATATCTATTCACTTTCCCATAAAGGACTGTACCTGCTGCAAGATGATCATCCAACGACGCTAGTTGTCGCCAGGCTGCAGCAGGAGAAAATCGTGGTACGGCGCGCTGCTTCTTCGGTAGTGTTGGTCGTAAGCGGAGGGCGATACCCAGCGAACCTTCTGAACATGAGCCTTCTGACCCTTCTGATGACAGTGCGGATTCCGATGATACTGCAAGAAAGACAAATTATGTATTAGCAAACTAATTAGGAAACATTTATCTCTTGGCTATGGTATTTACTTTGAACTTAGTAATTACACTACTTACAATTCTTAATTTTTGTTTCCTCCTTCATCTTAGCATTAAACTTATCAAAATCCTCATCTTCCTCATGATAATTTAGCAGCTTTTGTTCTATCAGGTGGAAGTTTGATATTTCTTCGATGATTGGGCTTCCTAGGCCTGGGAAGTCCTTTAGATGCTCGTGAGTATTCGTTTGTTTGCTTTCAATCATGCCGAAGTAAAACTGCTTTGACGGAGCTTGTTGTTTTGTTCTGGAAAAGAGATGTATGGTTTGAAATTAAGAAATGATACGGACGATAGGTTTGAGTTTTGTCTATCTTAATTATTTTAAGATATGATAAGAATACCGTAACTTACTTTTCTTGAGGTGGGTTAATTAAGGAGTCCAACTTTCTAGTAGGTGAATGTTCAGGCGTGGATTCTTTGCCGGAGGCCTGCCCTCTGTCCGGCATCGGGCGGCTGTTCTCCTTGCTGCTCACTTTATATCTGCTGTCTATCTTGGCGTTGACGTTGTTATTCGTCTGTCTAGTTTTATCCTCGTTAGCTCGACCTAGAGGCCTCCTACTGACGACCTTAGCGTCTTGCTTGTTGGCAGCACTTGTTAGACTAGACTTTTTGACTTTATTCGGTATTTTCGTTGGGCTCTTCTGCTCTTTCTTCTCTTGACTAGTTTTGGTTTCACTATCATTAATTTTACTGCCTAATTGATTTCTAATTCTACTCGTAGCCTTTTTAAGTTCCGCTTGAAATTCATCTTTTTCTTCATTATTTTTTAACAATAGTGAAGGAAGAGATTTTCTCAATGGTTTACTGGTCTCCGCCAGAGGGCTCAGTTTGCTCCCCCTGAGTTGCTCGCCGATGGCTTTCATCCTGCTCTCATGTGCCGCTCTAGAGGATTCGTTTTCTCTTTCGCTTGCCATCAAAGTTTCATCGAAGGTCCTCTCTCTCCTGAGCGTGGGCAGTTCATTGTCATCTTTCTTGAACCTCTCGGAGTACCTAAAGTTCCTGTTTAGTAGTGGCGTCTTCCAGGCTTCGCTTTGTTCGTTCTTGGACGTCTTCGCTCGACACCCGCTCATTCTATCTATCCTCGTCTTCCTGTAGTCTTGCTTCGTTTGTATAAGTCGTTCCTCTCTCTTGAGTGAGGCAGTGCTCTGCACCATGTCCTGGTTGTCAGGATACTTGAAATGTTGTTCCTTATCTTTACAAGGCGACCGATACCGTCGTTCAAAAGCTGCATTATCGGTCATGTCGAGTGACTTGTATTCGTGATATGAATTTCTGAACTGCAAATTGTCTTGGCCGTTCAGTTTTTTGGTTTCGTTTCTTGTTTTGAACAGTCTTAGTTTCCTCTGTGGCTCGGGTCTAGTGTTTCCTTCGCTGGAATCAGGCGACGAACCTTCGAAGTTCTGTGAACAATGCATTTTCTATAAACAATATGGTTGGAAATATTGCCCTGAGGAATAATTTCAGTTTCCTCGTTACTTACGTCATTGGTGGGAGGAGGAGGTGCTCTGTACTTTTTTCGGAAGTGTTTGTTTCCATTTCTCGTTTTCTGTTCTTCTTCTATTCTTAGATCTGGTTCAGATCCAAATCGTTTGTTAATGCTGCTGCCTGTAATGAAATTATTACCAATTAAGAGCAAGCTTTTTATGAATAATGGTTACTTTGCACTATTGCTATTGATAATAATATGAGGTACTTACTATCATGTCGTAGCTCGAGGTTGGTGTGTGACCTGTGCAGCGGGTCTCGCTCCCTGGAGCGTATCTCGCTGCTGTCACCAGAGGTGCCAGCTGACCGGGATCGGTACACATTCGCGTGCTGGAACATTACACAATTAATATTATTATTTCGTTTGTTCTATACGAACCCTTCCATTTCAGATAAAACCCTTACGTACCCAACAATTTATTGAATGTTTCTCTCAATGTTCTTAATAGATCTTAAGTTTAAATTATGCAAATGTTCCATGATTGGAAATAATTAACTTCAAGTTTCCTTACCACATGTCCATGTGGAACATTTTCGTGTATAGTGTTGGGTCTCCTGCCGCTGATAGTGCCACCCGAGTGCAGGATCGCACCGTTGTCTGTACTGCGCAAGCGCGGCGACTCGCATAGGGTTGGTAGCACCTGAATATCAAAATAATATAAAATTATTATATTGATAGATAATCAATAATACCTAATTGACGATTACACTTTAAGAAGCGGCAAATAGAAGCAGTGTAGATATTTCAGATAAATTCCTTTATCTGAAATATCTTGTTCATGGGTGGTGCTGATCGCTTCATCATCGTCATCATCATTAGCCTGATTTTTTCCACTGTTGGACAGTCCTCCCCAATTGCACGCCACTGCGTTCGATGTTCAGCTCTTCTCATCCAACCACTACCAGCCACCCTGCGGTTATCGTCAGTCTACTTAACTGGAAGGCGCCTTACACTACGTTTGCTGATCGCTTACCATCGGGTAATCCTACTACTCATTAAAAAAAAAAGTCCCGTTATGATTTTCACTTGTATCATGGGTGCGTTTACAAATACAGGAACAACAATTTGTGGATCACACAAAGAGTTGTTGCGTACGAGTATCCACGACACGTTCTGGCAGCTCACCGCATCAACCATGTTATATACTACTACTATACTACTGTTTAGATAAATGGGGTGCTAGTTACCTTGGGCGCTAGCCGGGGTGGGTCATGCGGCAGGGTGTGCGCTCGCCGGCCGCGCTGAGGCGGCGGCGCGTGGCTGCCGGCCTGGCCCATACCGCACTCTTACACATACATCTGGAACAAACAGTGTAACACCGATTATTGATACATTCAATATTATCAAAATCCTTACACATGTGTTACGTAATCTCCTGTCGCGCCTGTCTGTTGACAATTTATTGCCTCTAAAACTGCTCAACAAATTTTGACGCTGTTCTCTTCAGTTTCGAGGGATACTGAGGCAACTTTTTCAAATTGAAAACTATATGCTTTACTTAAATGAAAGAAAGCTGCTAGCTAATTAGTGTTAGTAAACAAATGTCCAAACATTCTCCATAAAATCGTTTCTAAATAATTCAAACGAACATAAAATAGTAATTACTGTTTACAAAGTAGGTACGTACAATTTCTAACACCTTTTCACTTTACCTTTCAAAATATAACTGCTCATTTATTTAGCCTGGCTTGTAAATACAGCCGGCTAATTATTGTTTTACTACGATAGTAAACTTTCCCAGAGAAAGTAATTACATGATACAACAATTCCTTATTGAAAAAGCTTGCGTCATAGACAAAGAGTAGGTAATTATTTTTACTCTATGCTCGATCATATTGTCAAATCATAAACGTCATATTTCCCGCCTTTTGTTTGCTTGGGACTTACATAATAATATTTTTTAAGTGTGGAAATTAAAACGGATTGCGATTAATATGGTATTAACCTCCAATAGGACTAAATGACACAGGATTTAAAAATACGTACTTGATAAATAATGCAATGCTTTTTCGATTTGTCCAAATCGCGACTTTTGTTTTTTTGCGTCAAACAGCTTACTTTTTTTAATAATTTGTTATATAAAACGAAAATTATGTATCGTAAAATCAATTAACACAAGTGTGTTTGTTTACATTTATTGCAATGAATAATCGAAATGATTTTTTGTCGACTAAATCAAATATTTAAAAACGTCTCTCGTCATTTAAAATTACATCCTAAATCCAGGTAGGTAAACAATAAAACTAAAAACTAAAATCTTTAAAACTTTACAGTTTATTAATTTTGATTAATACAACTCATAATTACAAGTTATAGGACGATTAATAATTAATATTGACGTAATCTTAGCCATCGACGCCATGATAATATTTTATACAACTAATCCTTTAACATGGCCGTTAGTCATTTCGATAACTTTCTCTAATTACACAGTCACCCGGAGCTTAAATACAACTTGATTGTATTTTATTATCTTCGAAATATTGTTATGACTCCTGTACAAAGATCATTATGGACAGACAGACAGATTATTATCTTTTATTAGACAGTATTTGATGAGGTGCTTCCAAAATAGGTCAGTTGTCTATGTTGATGTTTTTGTTGTGCTTCTCTTAGATTATGTATTGACTCCAAAGATGCAGGCACGTCGACATATACTCATCTGTTTTTGAAATTGAACTTTAATGTTACGGTTTGAAAATTGAAAATGTATTAATAAGTTTAATAGATTTGTGTAGGTTAACTTGCTGGCATCTGAACGGCTCATTCTTATCTATTATAGTAGGTCTGTCTTCAGCGTAACTTTCCTGCTTAATAAGGACCCCGGGCCCTCATATCTTAGGGGTCGGGACAGGGCTCCGAGCGTCTTGTGCGGCCCAAACCGACAATTTAGGTAATTTATAGTAACCAGTACTGTTTAGATTTATGGCAATGGAAAGCTGTCGATGCTTCTAATGAGAGATTTAAAAATAACTGCGTTTCTCTTTAACGTAAGTGAAGGCAGGACTCCCTAAGGGTCAAACGAGATTGGTTTTATTAGATTACGTGTAGTGCAACTTAGTATCTAAGTTTAGATTTTCATGTTAATCACTTTACTAGTATTTTTATTCCAAAGAAAGTCGACTTTGTGAAACCCTGTATAACATTTTAAACTTTATCAATATTGATTTTAAAGATTTTGATATCCAATGAAAAAAGGTTGCGACTTTATATAAATACGTTAATGTTAACGACTATGATTGGAACATTTCAAAATTTAAATTCAAATATAGAAGCATTCTATTTTAACACGTCATAATCAACGAACAACATCCGTGTTTACATTTAAAAAGAATAACCTGTATTTTCTTTTCCGTGAGAATAACGTTTAATAAGCAGAGTGGAATGATCAACCTGACATAACAATACATAATATCTTATACTAGATCAATATATTTAAATATCACAAGTTCAAACTAAGTACAAGTTCGTATTGGAGTCAAGGCAGCGTACAGTAAGCGCAGTTTCCCACGATAGTCGGATCAACAACTAATAATTATAATTAAAGCAACCCATTAAATAAATGGTACAATGTAAATATATTAGATATAATACATATCTAATATATTTAGATTGTGTTATAAACATTACACATAGTTATGTAAATCAAGATTTTTCTGGTCGTTCGACTTATACCGAGTCACACAGGGACCCTTATCATGAACTGTCGACGTTACTGCACGATGTTATACATACATAGCCATATTTTTTTTATTTAAGTATTAAAAAATAATCCACTCAAGGATTTTGACCTTTGTCCTGGGTGCATTTACAAACATACATATGTAATTTCTTATACACACCCATCCAAACCCGGAACAATAGATAGGTAATTAGTGGATCACACAAATAGTTGTTTTCTTATAGATGTTGTTTATATTGAATTAAAAAAACACATATTTTTCAATGGATTTTTTTTACACAATTACCTTACGCGATTTATTTTATTCATGTAATACAACCATAAAAGTAGTGTAGTAGCACTACTGTTATAAACAGGGTAAAATACTGGATGAGGATATATCACTGATAATTTTGTATGAACCGAAAGGGCTCTGCTCAGCAGCCAGGCTTGCGTCCACTGAACCAGTAGACAGTACAATAAACAAACAATTAGCCAACAGTTACTCGCTATGAATAACATGAATATGTAATAGACAACAGTGGTTTAGTTTAATCAGCTCGTGACACAGATAGCAGTAACTGCGCGAATCCAAGCATATCCGCGTTCAGTACTAGCTAATCAGAGATTATTCAGTAAAGAGTACTAATATCATATTGTTATACTAATTAGTGTATTGAAATGCGATGCTTAGGTTACCTATGACTTCTTTCACTTCAACATCTGAGCCATTTTTAATTAACTTATAATATGATTCATGTTTTTTGTTTATATTTTTTTATTTCTTATAATTCATTTTTCGAATAGTCAGCATTTATAAATATTGCGACTGGTAATGTCATGTATTTTTAACATTAAATTGCATACTTATTTCTGTAGGCCACTTGTAACCTCATTCCGACAAAGAGTTGTTTCACGCCAGTTTTCTGTGACGCCATTATAATATCACACCGGTAAAGATGGTCGTACAAAAACACGCCTCTTTAGGTCGATTTTACATTTTAATGTAGTGTATTTATAGGAGTGAAATGTCTTTTACTATTCCTTGCATATTGAAGGCAAGAGTGCGCTGTGTTCAGTTTTCTCGCGGCGACGTCACGGATGCGTCCGGCCCTACTTTCTTTATGATAATCGGCGCATGCGCAGTAAACAGACAAACAGATGAACACTCCACAATACACGACTCGTGTCACCTCAAGGGTAACACTTTAATATTGGTTTTATGGGAAAATCGGTGAGGCTTTCTCTCTGTGATCGTGTCTTAAGAAAATTCTGGAAGTAAGTATGTGTCGATCGAAGAATCTCAATGGTATCTATTAATTTAGTTTTTAGAGTTATGACAGACACCCAAGCTTAGCTTTCGTGTCGAAGGTTGGCTTTACCACACTTCTGATTAAGTGTGGGAAAGCCAAGCTTCGGCACGAATGGGTCGGCTCGACCGGAGTTTTACCACGGCGTCTCAGAAAACCACCGTTTAACACAGCGTCGTGTTGCGCCGTGTGATTGAGGTTGACGAAGGCCCAATCCCTCTCCACTTCCCATACTTTCCCAATCCTTAAATATCCCAAAAATCCTCAAATCGCCGGAAGCGCACTCGTAACTCCTTTGGTGCTGCGGGTGTACATGGGCGGCGCCGATTGCTTACTATAAGGTAACCCGACTGCTCGTTTGCCAGTCTATCCTATAAAAAACGTACAGCGGATCGTTATGTATGCTAAAATTATACCTTTCTACCCATACCTATTTAAATACCATATCCATTCATCTAGAAATATTTTCGGGAAAAGTCTTATCAAAACAGCAATAGTTTAAGCTTCCTACTGGAAGCTAGCTATCAGTGAAGATAACCACAAGAAAATATAAATAAATAATATTAATAACTCGTGCATTATTGCGGTCCACACTCCTAGTTCCTACTGCACTTTGCTTCACACGAGGTCCGGATCTCTTCCTAAGATCTCTGGAATTCTCAAGATCCCTGATTCCCTGAACACGTTTCTCATGTAATAACTAGCCTAAATGGAGACTGGAAAATTATTTAGCCATAGACTGCTTAGAAACATCCGTTTATTACGCGATTAGTACGCAGTAAATGATACCTTACGGTCTTCTCATAGAGTAGATATTGTAATTAATGGAAATATTAATGCCTATTTTTGTAGGTTTTTTATAATTTTTGAGACTGGTTTGACAGTTAAAGGGGTTCTATATGGCTTCCTTTACTATACTTTTGACATTTGAAGACCCGATAACTTGTCAATGTGCGAATTAAACTGAACTTTAGTTAGATTTCTCTGACATATGGATTGATTTGACTTTAAGATTCACTAAGTTTACACTTTAAAAGTAAACAAGTGTTAAATAAGCTATTTGATCTATAAAAAAATCACGTATCCTTAGACATATTTCTAAAAGTGCACTAAAAAGGCATTAACGACCATTTCCACAGATGTGGCACATCTACCGGTTGCATTATCTTTACAGTTTAATCATCGATCGGTGGACAATTATCGCGTATGATTTACGAGGGAGCCAGCAGAAGGAATGCTATAAATAACGATTAATGATCCAGTATCGGCCGCCGCGTGTTATTTATCGACAACCCAGCTGAATCACACGCCGCGTCCTTGCAACACC